CGTGGAGAGCGGAGAGGCCGACCAGCTGCTGAGAGTGCGGCCCACTCGCTGCTGCTGCTGCTGCTGCTGCAGTTGCTGCTGCTGCAGGTGCTGCAGTTGTTGCTGCTGCTGCTCAAGAGTATTGAATCTGCTGCTACTCCCGCCGCTTCGTGGTGTGGGGCCCGTGTCTATGCGAGTGTAAGAGAAGGCAGGGCTAGGTATTCTGGTTTGCTGCTGCAGTGCAGCAACAGCAGCAGCTGGCTGTTGCTGCTGCTGCTGCTGCTGCTGCTGCTGCTGCAAAGTCCTAGTTATAGAAGCGTCTCCTTTCTGCTGCTCCTCTGCCAGCTGTCTCTCCAGCTCAAGACGCTGCTGCCGCAGGCTGCGCTGCTCCTGCAGCAGCTGCTGCTCTCGCAGCTGCAAGAGTGTTGGCTGCTGCGGCTGCTGTCGCTGCTGCTGCTGCTGCATCTGCGGCTGCTGCTGCTGCTGCAGCGTTCTATATGCTGGACTAAGAGTTGAGGTGCTGTCTCTTCTTATCAGCTTCGGGCTGAAGTTGCTTTGCTGCTGCTGCTGCTGCTGCTGCTGCTGCTGCAGCTGCAGAGCAACGGGAGACAGCAGACGCGGGGTGGGACTGAGGGGAAGCCTTCCTCCTGTGTTGAAGCGTACTGGCAGCATCGTTTGCTGCTGCTGCTGCTGCTGCTGCTGCAGGCTTGCAGGGAGCGAGTTGCTGCGAAGGAATGACGAGCCGAATGAAGCAGTAGGTTTTGCTGCAGCAGCAACTGCTGCTCCATCTGCTGCAGCAGCAAGCGCTGCTCTTTCTGCTGCTAGTTGAGCTGTAGAGGCACCGGTCTCAGCAGCCATTGCTGCTGCTGCTGCTGCTGCTGCTACCCCTTGAGGCACCAGCTGCTGCTGCTGCAGCTGCTGCAGTCGTGCACATGCTGCTGTAGCGTTCTGCGCAGCAGCCGTTGCTCTGGCAGCAGCAACTGCTGCTCGCTCTGCTGCAGCCCTTGAAGGGGATATGGTAGGGGATAGGTCAGCGCTTTGCTGCTGCTGCTGCTGCTGCTGCTGTTGTACTGTTTGCTGCTGCAGTGTCTGCTGCTGCTGCAGCTGCTGCAGCTGCTGCAGGTTGTCTGTCGTTGAAGCTGGAGTCTCCGCAGCAAACGTTATGAGGCTTCCAGAGTCGAGCGTAAGCAAT